CTTTAAAAAGACAGAAGAAGCTATTGCTGTAAGTGTATCAGGAATTAAAACCCATATTACTTGTACCACTCTGTTTAGATAGAACTTATTCCATCCCAGTTTTTATACAAGCACTAGATCTGAGGGCACACACAGCTATCTCAAAAAAATCAGGATATAGCACAGTAATCATCTTCAATTTCCTGTTAACTTAAACCGGATCCCTCTATAACTTATACTGTTATATCATTACTGATTTTAGTTAAATCTGATTTGTTTGATTGCTTTTTGTTATTGACTATTTTATTCAAAACTGTTAGGTTGATAGTATCGTCAGAGTGTAGACAACTATACTGAAAATAGCAACAATTCACTATAATACCCATTCTGACTTGATTAATATCTGTTTTTGTAGCTCTACACTATCTACAAAGTTATATTGCTGTTAATACTGTTATACAATGATATATTCAATTATACTTTATCTGATGATATAGCCATTTTTATTGATGATAGCAAGAGACAACACAGTAACCATGGTAGAACTCCTTGTACAGCAGTTTTTATGTCTTTTTAGTTTTATGTATCTCTAGGATTATGTTTTGCTCTGTCCTGTTTTGTTCTGTTTCTCCCTCTAATATAGAAAGGATAGTAACACATGTTAAGATGCATGCTTCCATAAAACCTATCAACAATTTACAAGAACCGATTTATGACACATGATGAAATGAACAAATACCTTGAAGGAGAAAAAATGGGACTACAGTACCCAGTGCTGGTTCTATAGTATCATGATGTGAAATCAAGCAATACTATTAATCTTCAATTAGAGTGATTTTAATCTGCTTTGGTTTGTTTAAACTCAACATAAATGAAGATATGGATAAATACATACATGTTTAGTGTATAAACATGATTGATTGCCATATTACTTAGTTTTTATTAGATAGTTGAACAGAAATATTTGAAGTCTCCCTGTTTGAATTCCCATTTATATGTTCCACTTTTGTATCTTGAACAATTATTTGTAAGAGGACAATAAATCACACAAACTAGTGATTTATTACTGTTTATTCTTTTCTTTGAATGTATGTACTATTTATGCCTGCTTTCTGTTTTGTTTTGTCTTTCTTTAAATAAAAATAAATTTAAAAAGATAAATAAATAAACAAAGTCCCTTAGAAGTGAATTGGTGGACCAAGCTCTGATTGATAAATAAGAAAGCAGCTGTCTGGTAACATTTTTAACCAGTTTTTGCCCATTGATTAGAGACCTCAATGATCTCCAGAGCATTACAGGAGACACCTCAAATAAATTTATGAAATATATTCCTAAATGTTCACATTGGTCATTATCAAATGAAGTAATACATATTTTTGGTTTGATGATGCCTGTATAAAGGTTTCACATGGTTATGACAGTTGATTGTAATCAACTATATGATGTATTGCATATATTGGTAATTCTGGATGCATAAGACTCCATGATTGTAAAATGGGGATTACTTATGGTAACAGATTTTTGTCACATGTGCACACCTTTGCTGATAACAAAGACTTGTGAGATTCACATTCAACTAAAGACCAGTAAGTTGTTCAATAATACACAAAAAACTTCTTGTGTATTAGATAAGGGTGATTGACCAAAAGTGATATTTTATGTCAAAACAAGAATTTAGATTATTACAAGAATCTCATGATTGTCATGATGCAATACTATGTATTGTTCTGATTCCTGATATATTATGTAAAATATGCAACTGTTAATTCTGTAGGTATTCAAATGCTAAAATGTCCATGGATAGAAGAAAATAGGATTCATTTAATGTTCTAACTTGTTTCATGTTTAGATAAAATAGTAATGTTGCACTTACTGCCTCTAATAAACTTTATTGTTATGAAAAACTTCTTTTGGATGTTTGACAGCTAAGGTTTGGAAGCCAAAACTTAGAGAAACAGATGGGCTAAATGGATAGCCAATATTTTGGTCCCAGCTATTCAAGGGTGGTGCAGACCCGGGATATAAAATAACCTCTGATTGTATCATCCTAAGATATTCAGTGAGTCCCTGGTTGTCTCACCAAGGAGATGATGAGACCACAGTGGAAAGTCACCTTCAATGCAAGGTGTGCCTAAGAAGAGTCACCAGGAGAAAAATCTCCCAAGCTTTCACAGAGAGCAATGTGGTCAAGCAATGATTGTGACTCTTCTAAGTGGCTGATACTGACAGAAGAGCCATGAGATGCTATGCATGGTTCTAAAATAACTTGTGAGAATACCTAAGTGACCTTGATAGGAAGTAAGTAATTGACTATTGTTGTCATGGTTTATGCATGTGTCCCGCAGCCCTCATACATTTGCATTGTGCATTTGCGATCGTTCATTGTCTCGTGCTTGGATTGATGGTGTCAATGCTAAACCCACGTTGGGGTGGAGCCAGGATGTAATTCAATGGCAGGAAGAAGGTGTATCTTGCTTTTTGCTGGTTCCTGTTTGCTGTTTGCAGCCTCCATGAACTGTGGCCCAGCCATTCCTGCCTGCCTTGGAGCCAACTGAGTGTGAACTGAAACCTGCAAAAACTGTAAGAAATAAACCTTTCATTTCTCAAATTGGGCTTCAGGTATTTTGTCTCAGCAACAAGTAAAAAGTAATTAAGACAGAATTTGGTACCTAGGAGTGGGGTCTTTTGCTATGACTATACTTCACCTTGTTTTTCGAGAGGCTTTGGAAATGGCTTGTGGGCAGAGTTTGGAAAGGTTTGGACATGTCGCCTGAATGCGTAGAGCTGGACAGCTTAGGCTGTTCTGTAGAGGGGATTCACATCAGAGCTCAGGAGACCAGAAGGCTGATAGAGGGCCTGATGATAAAGACCAGGTTTGGGAGGTTTCTGTTGGGAAGAGGGACTGCATTGGTTGTTGGACTCCACATGATGTGTGTTATGGCTTTGCAGAAGGTTTGTCTGCATTTTGCTCCTGCCCCGAGACTTTGCTGAGACTGAGACAAAGGGCAATGGACTGATTAATCTTGAAAAAGAAATTAAAAAGCAATCAAACCTTGAGGCTATGGCATGGTTATTGTTGGGGGCTTTTAGCCAGATTTATGTTGCATATCAAAAGCGAAGAGATCAGCATGATAGTGTACAATGCTCTGAGTTTGGCCAGAAGGAAAATTCCAGGAAGACAGTGGATTGCAAAGACAGAGTTGAGATTTTTATTCCTGAGGAGAAACAGAGAGATAAGAAAGATGGCCCCTGGGCATCATTGGAAGGGGGTCCCCACCCTGTGCAGCCTCACTGCAAAAGTGAAAGAATTTGCTCAGAGGGAAAAGCTGCAGAGTGCCATGTTCCAGAATGGCCACAGAGGCCACTTGAGGTTCCAGAATGGTGGAACCTTAGAGAAGCTTTTCCTCACAATCATATAAACAGAGCCCTGCAGTCCTGGCAACTGACCCATATAGCCAAAAGACAGAAAAGCCTAGGTACTGCTCCAGTCAGCAGCAAACCTTGGTGGCATCCACAAGGTGCTGATTTTAGGTGCAAGGAAAATGCACAACTTCTGAGGCAACATGGCATCCACCTCAATTGCAAAGTGCCTGGGAGGCCAAAAAGTGTGCCCCTGAGAGGGCAATTTGTGAAGACGTAAGGGTGAAGCAAAAGGTGCAGTGGAGACTGCAGAAGTTTGGAAAAAGCAGGAATGTGGATGATTCAAGGGAAGCTGCAAAAAGAGAGCAGAGAAGATTTAAGAGAAAGCTGTGGGAGTTAAAATCGCTGGAGTGCCATGGGGGTGGAATTACCCAAGCCTTTTGGAGTTTGCAACCAGATTGCTTCTGATGCTGAACATGGAATTCTAGGACTTAATGTTCACCCTGCTGGACTTCTTTTATTTCTAGTACTTTATATTCCCCTTCTTGTAACTTTTGGAATGGTAATGTTTACGTTGTGTCTTTGCATTTGAGAAATGTTTAACCTTGTTTCATTTGTACAGGGGTTACAGTTAAGAGTTTGCCTTAGATCTTGGAGGAGACTTGGGAATTGGACTGTTCAGAAACACTGAAACCTAGGACGTTGACAACTCTTGGAAGTGGACTAAATGTCTTTTGTATAATGGATGTACATGAGCCCTGGGGACCAGGGGTGGAATATCATGGTTTATGCCTGTGTCCCCCAGGCTTCATGAGTTTGCATTATGCACTTGTGATGGTTCATTGTGTAGTACGTGGATTGATGGTGTTAGTGCTACACCCACATAGGGGTGGAGGCAGGATGTAATATAATTGCAGGAAGAAAGTGTGTCTTGCTTTTTACTGGTTCCTGCTGGTTGTTTGCAGCTGCCATGAACTGTGGCCGAGCCATGCCCAGCTGCCTTGGAGCCAACTGAGTGTGGGCTGAAACCTCCAAAAACTGAAGAAATAAACCTTTCCTTTCTAAACTTGGGCTTCAGGTATTTTGTCTCAGAAACAAGTAGAAAATAACTAAGACAGTAGTTAATGCAGGTCTCATGTTAGCTTGGCCTTGGATGTCCTGCAGAAAAGTCTGGCCTCTGAAGATACAGTGCAATGTAAAAGCTTCACTGTGGGGGAAGCTAGGATCACTAACATCCTCTGACAATTGCTGGCTATATTGGTAAATGACTACTGTTATGAACTGATGGACTATGATGAGTTTAAATTAGAGTTCTCCTCAATGCTTCCCCACCTTAAGCTGGACACCCATCCTGGGAGTCAACAAAACAAAGTAAGAAAGAGATGTTGGAAAGGATTGAAGATGAATACATGTGCAGGGCTGTGGTGTGGCCTGGGCATGATTGAATTGAGAATGAGGAGACACCATAAGGAACAAGATAGGCCAAAGCTGAGGCCACCTGGAGGCTTCCTGGATAGTTTTTCTTAATTAGAATCATCTGTTGCTCTGTGGGTTCCTTGAACCTCTCCCAGGGGCCTGCTCAGGTTTTTACCATTGTCCACTCACTCCCTTGCTTGATCTAATTAAATGGGCTGCCTAGTGGCAGGTGGCTGGCTGGTTAGCAGAGTTACGAGTTCTGAAGAAGATTTCACTCTTCCTGTTGCCCTCAAGACAATGCTACTTTTCTCATTTTTTGGTCCTTTGCTGTGCACTTCTTTGGGGGCTAGATATTTAGGCATAGGCCCCAACAGAAAATTAACTTCCAGAGAGGATAACTGTAAGTTTCCTGAAAATGTTGTTGCATGTAAATTTTCTTTACCTGTAGATGGAAGTGTTATCAACAAATATATTGCTAACTTATCAACATATGCTACCTTATTAACCTATTGAGGGGTGTTATAGTGATTTCTCAGAAGGCATGATTATACACCTCTTTACATCATTGTGAGTATTCTGAATAACTTTTCTAAGTCAGTAGTTATAAGTGAAATTGGTAGATAATAAAATAGGCCTCCATCAACTTGCTAAGTACTATGTAACATGAGTCTCGGTATTTCTAGCATTTCATTTGTTTTAACCATGAATTCCTCACCAGATGCTAGTTATGCCTACGTGGCAGAGAATGGATTGTACAGGAAATTAAGTGGTTTTTTTTTTCTTTTTCCTTTTCATCGATACTGGGGATCAAACTCACAACTGCCTTTTTGCAAGGCAGGTGCTTATGCCGCTGAGCTAAACCTCCAGCCCCGTGGTTTTGATCTCCAAAGAATTGCTGGAGTCAAACTGAAACAGGTAAATGCTAAAAAACTGTTAGGGTTTTCATAGATTAAAAACTCATTTACATAATTAGTTGAAGAATGAGTTGATGCATTTGGAAGATTATTCAGAACATACAGCTAGCTGAATTATATTAGATATTTATTTCTTTACTTTTATACAGGTACGAAATACCTGACTTACAGAATTTAATATAAATATATTCTTTATCTCATTGTTTCCATGAGGGAAGTTTGGTTTTGACTGTTTACAAAGCAGAAATATCTTGGAAAAAAGTGAAAAGGAAAAGGTAACTTTTCTATGAGGTCAAGGAGCCAGAGAACAGTTTCAGAACCTGAGAGGAAGGATCCAGGGACCAGATTTGGTTCATGGGTTCCAACACAAATGGCTGCAGTTTATACATATAGAAGCAATCATAGTAATATCCTACACATTTCTGAAGCCAAAAAGGTGTTAACAAATGGATCACCAGGCTTTAGGGAATATATGACTTCTAGGAATATTAAAATCCTAAAGAGTGTTATACTAAGATGCTAAAAATTAAAATAATTGATTAAAAGATAATTAACATAAATAGGTACTTAAAAAGATAGTTATTAGTAATATTGTCATTCTACTGAGCTCATTGTCCTAGTAACCAAGCACCAACCACATAGTTATAAATTAACTGACCACGTCATTCTGCTGTTCTGTAATGCGTCATCCCCCCCCCCACTTTAGTGACCTGTGTGCTATGTCAACTTTTGTTCCCCTTTTAAGAGACAAATGATGCTGTGTCAACCACTGTTCCCTTCATGAGAGACAAATGTTCCTGGAATTGGCAGACCAAGCGCTATGAATTGGCTAACCACCCACTGTGAAATGTCTGTGTCCTCAAGCAAAGGGGAACAAAGGCCCACCTTATTTCTGTTTCTCATCACTATGTACTTAATGATCAATGAGCTAGTCATAAATGAACTATAAAAATCAGTCAAAACTCTAACTCAGTTGCACAGCTTTGCAAATTCCATCTGCACTGTGTCGCTGGGCCAGCTAAAATAAAATCACTTCTTTTAAAAAAGATGTCTTGCCCCGTTTGTCATCTTGGGGTCTTGCCCTGTTTTTTCATCATGGGGCCCTGTTTTTTGAGTAGAGTACAACATTTGGGCGCTTGTTCAGGATTACATGGGGACCCCTCCCCACATTTTTTCACCAATCGATTGACTTAAAACATCTGTAAGTATTTGGATCTTTTGTTGTTTGTAATTTGAATGCGCACCTTTGAAGTTGCAGAGGAGCTTGGCTGGCTCCTTCTGCACCAGAGTGGGATGCCCTCCGGGACAGGGCTTCTAGCCCATTTGTGATTTGGGATTTTTTTATCCACTTGGTTTTGTGCTTGGTATATTTTTACGGTGGAGCCATTTGTTCATTTGAATCTGTTACCTCAGTACTAACATTTAGATTTCTTTTTTCTCTTAAACTACTGTTGCAGGTTCCATGTGGCTTATTGGACCTAAGGGTCATAATGAAAATTTATTTCCCTTTAGGTCACCGAACCATGGACAGAAAATCCTTTGTTTGTGTCTTTAATGTTGGTCTTGTCTTTTGTGGTGCCTTGTTTAATGTTTTAGTCCTCAACTGATTATGTACAACCTTGGCATACCTTTAAAAGTGTTTTTCTAGTTAAAACGTAAATAACAATACATATATATGTTTATGGTTTTTAAAATCATATTGGCTTTACCAAATAAAGCCAGGTCCTACTGTTATTGAGACAGTTTAAAAAGTTACAGTTTTTAAAGTGTAACATTTTAAGGTGGTAAAAAGACATAAAATCATTTAACATATTTTAGACTACTAAGAAAGTCACTTCAAGGATTTAGTTAAAAGTTTTAATGTTGTCTAAAAAGCTAGAAAAAAGGTAATTGATGGGTAATAAACAGAAACAGAAAAACAGAAAAACAAATGTGTTCAGAATTTGACAGTATTGGATCAGTAATCTTTACTACAAAATGTTTCCATTAAAATGAGATTATATTCTAAAAAGGGGAGCCCTTTGTCATCCCAATTTTATATGATGGTAAAAGGTCAGTATTGACCATATATAAAATATATTTGCCTATGAAAATAAAAATTAAATAAGACTGTAATTCTCATCCCCATCTGGACTAAAAGCCATCAAGGTTCAGAATTGCTGGACACCTCTTCCTCACCCCTCTTTTTTCTAAGGACCCTCAGGGCCTTATTCCTCTTTTGGAATTTGTCTTCTCCATTCATCATCCCACTTGGGATGACTTCCAGAAGATTTTGCAGGTTTTGTTTACAGTAAAAGAGCGAGAGAGAGAGAAAAAAAAAACATTCATATTGTGGGATAAAGAGCAGTGTGCATTCCAAATAAAAACCTGTCCTCTGATCCCGAATGCCAGAACCATGTTTTCCCTTTGTCCCACCCCTGATCAGACAACCAGAGGTAAGAAGGCTCTCGTTCAGTATCACCAATTGTTCTCAGAAGCCTTTAAGGGCTGCCAGAAAACCCACCAATTTGTCCAAGGTAGCAGAGGTGAGACAATTAGATGATGAGTCTCCCTCGGGGTTTCTGGAGAGATTGCTAGAAGCCTATTACTTTTGTACACCTGTAGATCTGGTAGCACCTAAAAAGGCAAGGGCCATTAATACTACCTTTGTAACTGTCAGCACCTGATATTAAGCAATAATTGCAAAGGCTTGAGAGATTTTTAAAAATGTCCCTCAGTTAGTTATTGGAGCTTGCTTAAAACTGACTCTTTCCTCCCAGCTAGTGCAAGCCATTTAACGGATTCCAGTTCCTGTGACTAGAAAGCAAATATGAGAATTTCTAGGAGCCATAGAATATTGCCTGCTTTAGATTACAGACTCATGAGACCAGGCTTTTCAGCAATTGAAATCAGCCTTAACAGAAGCTCCAGTTCTGGCTCTGTCAAAGTTGCAAAAACTTCTTTCTCTCTATGTTGATAAAAAACAAGGGATAGCAAAAGGAGTCCTGACCCAGAGTTTAGGACCATGGCAAAAGCCAATTGCCTATCTTTCCAAGAGACTTGATAATGTGGCAGCCCAATGTCTGCCTTGCCTGCAGATGATTGCCTTGGTGGCCCTCCTGGTGAAAATGGCCCAAAAGGTGACCTGTGGACAAAAACTTTTAATTACCTCCTCACATTCACTTGGAGACTCTCATCAAAGCTTCACTGGATGGATGGCTGCCTATCAGGCATTACTTCTAGATCTGACTACCATCAGTTTCAAGGGGACAGTGTCTTTAAACCCAGATACTCAGCTGCCTGATGATGACCTCTCCTTGCCCCTCTGATCATTTCATGGGGCTTCGACCAGACTTGACAGATGAGCCACTGTCCGGAGTTCCATCATATTTCTATGATGAAAGCAGTCACATATATCAAGGTAAGCAAGTCATGGGAGCCACTGTCACAGACTCTCAGATTCTATGGGAACAAATCTTAGAGCCAAAAACATCAGCCCAATGGGCTGAACTCATTGCCCTCACTGAGGCCCTCAAGTTGTCAGACTGATAGCAGATATGCAATTGCTACTGCCCATGTTCATGGGGCCATTTATCAGGAATGAGGTTCATTGACTTAAGGGAGCTAAAAGATAAAAATGCTCCCCAAGTTTTGGATTTGTTAGCTGCCATTTGGATGCCAAGGAATATTGCTATTAAATAATCTAATAGATGCAGCTACCCAAAAAGCAGCCTCAAAGTCAGTGGGGATTGAGAGAATCCTGGCATTGCTACTGATTCCATCCACTCTGTCAAAGCCCTTTTGCACTCAAAAAGACTTACATTTGGCAGCTCAACTCCAAGCAAAGTCTGATATCCCTGGGGCCTGGTACCAACTGCCTGATAATTGAGTCCTCCTCCTCGAGGCCTTGAGATAAAAACTCATCCAATAAGCTCATCAGTCCACTCACATGGGAGGATCAAAACTCGCTGCTCTTTTTGAGATCATTTCTTTATCCCTCAGTTATCAAAGCTTACTCAGTCTGTGAGCCTCAGAGGCCCTCACTGCCAGTTGGTAAATCCTAAGCAACAGCAACAAATGAAAACCACTTGGTATCATGGGACTATGCCTGAAAAACATTGAGAAATAGAATTCACAAAAATTAAAAAGCCTGGACTTTAAGGGAATGAGTACTGGTAGATAGCTTTTCCTACTAAGTCTTGAGTCAGACCTGATAGCAGTTTTCCCAATTTGGCCTCCCTTTATCCATGGGGTCTGACAATGGCCTGGCTTTTATAGCCCAGATAACTCAAAAACTAACCCAAGCTTTGCATATTGATTAAAAACTCCATTGTGCTTACTGGCCTTAAAGTTCAGGACAAGTAAAAAGGATAAACCAGACTTTAAAAATGGTAATAACTAAGATGGCATTAAAAACTGGCGAGAACTGGGTGAGTCTCCTTCCTTTTGCCCTCTTGTGTGCGCAATGTACCCCATATGTTACAGTTGTTTCCCCTTTAAAGTTCTATGTGGGAGACCTCCTCCTCTTATTCCTAAGATTTCTAAAAAAAAAAAATAGCTGATCTGACTAATCAAGATCTTGTTATGTTCCTCCAGGCCCTTCAGCTAGCTCTGACTTCCATCCACCAGTTATTCCGAGAACAACAACCTCTGCCTACAACCCATCCTGAGGATAAATGTCCTGCAGTGAAACCTAGGACATTATCATCAAGAGACATCACCATGAGTCAGTCAAACCATGGTGAGAAGACCCTTACACCATGGTCCTCAGCACTCTGACTGCCGTCAAAGTCACGAAAAAGCCTGCCTCGATTCATCATTGCCACTTCAAGCCAGTTCTGGCCTCTGACAGCGATCAACCTACAGATAAGTGGACTGTTGTTCCCTCCAAGGATTCTTTAAAGCTTAAGATTGTGAAATGTATCTGATAATCTTGCTCTTAGGTGTTATTCCTCATGGACACCCAAGAAGATACCTTGTAACCCCACTGTTTAAAACTTAAAATTACTATTTCACTGGTAAATTATTGGTAGCCAATGCTACTGTCTATGAGATAACTAAGATAGATTTATGTTCCCTATTAGATAACATCCCAGAAAAAATTAAACAAAAAAAATGTTGGGTTTGCATGTCATGCTGCCTGATTGGTTGCTAATGGAGACTTACAAGGACCTATGTATTCAAAAGAAATTACAGAGCACTGGCTGGTATCTTTGCCCCCAAAACCAACAGCCAGCCTCTGATCATAGGTGTTCACAATCCGTAGAGACAAAATATTTTTGTAGCTATTGGGGTTGTAAATTTGTATCTCCTTGACAGAAAAATAAAGGGGGTCTTTACCTTTTTCCTCACTCTTGAGACCCAATCTTCTGTTCTCCTCCACTAGACTTCCTGCTCCTGAGACCTTTTTGCCCTCTGCGATTTCTGTGACATCTCTAGCCCCTTCTTGCCTCTGGACATTGCTTATGGCAAATCAACTTTTAAATTCCCGTACAGACGACACTTTGTTGGTGGGATACTAAGCCCCTACTCACACTGGACAATGTACAGGGTGCTCCAGGAATCTGTGTTTACTCTGCCTCCTACTCTTTGCACACTTCCCCTAATGCTGCACTCTGTAATCCTGCCTCTTCAGCTTTGATTTATACTTTTTCCTATCCTGCTAATCAACACCTTGTTGCTCCCAATGGAGCCTGGTTTGCCTGTACTTCTAATATAACTCCTTATTCCATGCAGCACCTGTTTACCCAATGCCCTGAGCTTTACATATTAGTCAATATCTTTCCCCAGTGTATTAGTACTCTAGAGATAATGGTAAGAGTCACTTGTTCCCTAGCTTTGACTTAAAGAGTCCAGTAAGAACAAAAAAAATCCTGTATTATTACCTGTATTACTAAAAATTGAGATAACAAGGTCAATAGGTTTAAGAGTGTCCAGCCTAATAGTCAAAAGACCAAAATTATAGACACTTAAATGCACTCATTGACCGAGATTTAGCAGCCCTTAGTGACTCTGTCTCCAAATTAGATGATTTTTTAAGTTCACTGACTGAGATGGTTTTACAAAACTGGTAGGGTCTAGATCTCCTGTTCCTAAAGGAAGGAGGCTTTTGTCTGGCAGTAGGAGAAAATTGTTGTTTGTATGCCAATCATTCTGGGGTTATCAGACAAAGTATGGCCAGCCTTAAAAGGCAGCTACAGGATCAAGAACAAGCCAGACAAGCTGAATAGAATTGGTTTGAGCAATGGTTTTCTCTATCTCCCTGGTTGACAACGTTAATCATAGCAGCCTCCAGACCTCTCTTGATCTTAATTACTTGTTTAACAATTGGACCTTGCATTATAAACAGATAAGTAAATTATGTCAAAGACCAGGTGCAAACAATAAAACTCATGGTTTTAAGGACACAAGTTTATGAACAAATAGCACTTCTTGAAAATTCCATGAGCCAATGATTTGGTTCACTGACAAAAATCAGTGGGGAATGTTATACTAAGACGCTAAAAATTAAAATAATTGATTAAAAGATAATTAACATAAATAGGTACTTAAAATATAGTTATTAGTAATATTGTCATTCTGTACTGAGCTCATTACTCTAGTAACCAAGCACAACCACATAGCTATAAATTAACTGACCACGTCATTCTGCTGTTCTGTAATGCATCATCGCCCCCACCTTAGTGACCTGTGTGCTATGTCAACTTTTGTTCCCCTTTTAAGAGACAAACGATGCTGTGTCAACCATTGTTCCTTTTATGAGAGACAAATGTTCCTGGAATTGGCAGACCAAGGGCTATGAATTGGCTAACCACCCACTGAAATGCCTCTGACCTCAAGCAAAGTGAAACAAAGGCCCACCTTATTTCTGTTTCTCATCACTATGTACTTAATGATCAATGAGCTAGTCATAAATGAACTATAAAAATCAGTCAAAACTCTAACTCAGTTGCACAGCTTTGCAAATTCCATCTGCACTGTGTTGCTGGGCCAGCTAAAATAAAAGCACTTCTTTTAAAAAAGATGTCTTGCCCCATTTGTCATCTTGGGGTCTTGCCCCGTTTTTTTCATCATGGGGCCCTGTTTTTTTTTTTTAGTAGAGTACAACAAAGAGCTGAGTGCCAATTAGTGGCAAGGGAACTATATGGCAAGGGGAACTTATAGTGTGAAGTCCTCGGGTGTCCCTGCCTCACCAGAAGGAAATGTTTAATTGGATTAGGAATTTGGTTCCATTTCAGCAATAATTGTCACCCCCCATGCTTGGCAATATGATCACTTTCAGAATTCAGCATTTTTATGAGTCTGAATGAGTAGCAAGCTTGTCTTGGAGAACTGATGCTTGCTTTTATTTCATCCTTACTCAGTTGCAGACCATTACTGTGATTTAAATGTAATGTCTTCACTTTACAAGGTAACTGTGCTCCTTTTGTGTTGACATACTGGGTTTGTAGGTGGAAAATTAATAGAAATGAGTGAAAATCATGAAAATGAAGTCTGCTGCCTCTAACACAAACTTCCGACTCTCAGTTCTGTTGTGTCCTACCCTGGCCTGTTCTCAGAATATTTTCTGACATCAGTGGATTTTTTTATTCCTGGAGGATTCAACCTGAATCCTGAAAATATTTGCAGCCCATTATGGAAAGAGTCCACTGATCCTTGAAAGAAAGCAGGGGTAGCCATGAAATGGCAAGGATAAATAAGAAATTTAGAGAAGACCTAATACCACCACTTCTCAAAATTTAATGAAATCGAATGTGAAATTGTACTTCCCAATTCATTCCTGGAAGCAAGCATTACCCTGATACCAAAACCAGAGAACAATCCAAATAAGAAAGAGAATTACAGACCATTCTGCCTAGTGAACATTGAAGCAAAAATCCTCAATAAGATACTGACAAACAGATTGCAGAATATCAAGAAGATTTTACATTATGATCAAGTGGAATTACTCCCTGGGATGCAGGGGTGGTTCAACATACATAAATCCATGCATATAATACACCATATTGACAAATCCAAAAGCAAAAATCATTTGATCATTTCAATAGATGCAGAAAAACATTTTGACAAAGTCCATCACCTATTCATAATAAAAAACCTACAAAAATTGGGAGAGATGATCTTTATCTCAATCTGATAAAAGCCTTTTATTACAAACCAACAGTCAACCTCATACTAAGTGTACAAAAACTGAAAGCTTTCACTCTAAAATCAGGAACAAAACAAGGATGTCTACTGTCTCCATTCTTATTCAATATAGTCCTGGAAACTAGCTGGAGCAATTAGACAAGAGAAAGAAACAAAAGGAAGAAAATAGGAAAGGAAAATCTTAAAATATCATTATTTGCAGAAGATATGATACTCTACTTAGAAGACCCTAAAAATTCCTCCAAAAGACTTCTAGTTTAAGAAGCAAATTCAGTAATATAGCTGGTTACAAAGGCAACACTTAACAATCAATAGACTTCATAAACAATAATAAAAAACTCATGGAAAGAGAAATCAAGGAAACAATAACTTATACAATAGCATCCAACAAAATGAAATACTTAGGAATCAATCTAAAAGGATGTAAATGACCTCTACAGTGTAAACTACAGTACTCTCAACAAGGAGATTGAAGAAGATATTCTAAAATGAAGAGCTATTCCATAGTCTTGAGTAGGGAAATTCAATGTAGTGAAAATGACCATACTTCCAAAGCTATTGTACAGATTCAGCACAATCCCAATCAAAACCCCACAGCATATCTCAAAGAATTACACAAAATAAATCCGAAAATTCATCTGGAACCAAAAGAGACCTAGAGTAGCAAAGGTGATCCTGGCCAACAAAGAAAAGATAGGGTTCATCAAAATCCCTGACTTGAAATTATACCTTAAAGGTATTGTGATTAAAAAAAAAAAGATGTGGTACTGACAAAAAACAAAACAAACAAAACCAGACCCAAAGATCAAAGGAACAAATTAGAAGATGGAGAAAGAACCCCAGACCACTAAACCACCTTATCTTTGACAAAGGTGCCAAATAGAGTTATTGGAAGAAAAGCAGCCTCTTTAATAAATGGTGCTGGAAAAACTGGCTCGATCCATTCTGAATATTATCTTTCAACGTGTATTAAGCTAAGATCAGAATAGATCAAAGATCTTATATTAAACAGAAACATTAAATCTGCTGCAAGATAGAGTAAGTAAAACTCTTGAAGACATTGATGTAAGCAAAGACTTTATGAAGAAAACTTGGATTGAACAGCAAAAATCAAAGACAATTATGTAAAAATCTCACCCTACTGAAAAACTTTTTAACAGCAAGAGAAATCACTATCAGAGTGAAAAGACAACCCACAACGTGGGAGAAAATGTTTGCCAACTGTTCCTCAGACAAAGTATTACTATTGAGAGCACGGAAAATTAAAAAATTTCAGTCTTCCCAGATTTAAAGACCCAATCCAAAAATGTGCATCTGAGGTGAAATACACAGTTCTCAGATGAAGAAATAGAAACAGCAAATAAATATGTGATAAAATGTTCTGCATCACTCGTCATTTAACAATTGCAAATTAAATAACACTGATATGTCACCGTGCCCCAGAAAAATTGCCTACTGTCAAGAAATCAAGCAATAACGAATGCTGGAGAGGTTGTGGGGGGAAAAGGAACCCTTCTCCATTGTTGGTGGTAAAGCAACCACTGTGGAAATCAGTGTGGAGATTCCACACAAACTAGGTCTACAGGTCCCACTCAACTCAGCTATTCTCCCTCTGGGTATCTACCCAAAAGAATAAAAATCATCATACCACAGTGATATACGTGCACCCACGGTTATAGCAGCACAGTTTGTGGTAGCCAGATCTTGGATGGAATGCACGACCTCTAGCTCGCCAGGCAGGCGATTAAGCTAAATCCCTGGACCACATTTTTTTACTTTTTAACTTTCAAATAAAGTGGGTTTGGGAGAAAAAACAAGGACTGAGGTAAAGACTTTCAGTGCAAATACCCATCAGACCAGCTGAGGTCAACATTCCAGAAGACAGTCCAGAAGCCTCCACCATCTTTCATTGGGGGTCCACAGTTACAGGGTGGGGATTTTTCTGTAATTATTCTTGGTGGGGAAGGCAGGCAGGAGGGCAGGAGCCAATCAGTGATGCAGAGGCTGGCTGTAAGAACTGTCCAATCAGGCAGGCCAAGGTAGGCAGTCTCTTCCAGTGTCATGGCGTCAATTGCAAGGCCAGGGCAAAAAAGGGAGCACTAGATGTTTGCTAGACTACTATTTTTTGCTTCTATTCGCTGTGGACTGCTTAGAAAGAACCTGGGAGACCTCCAGACTATGCAATGGTGATGTTATGGGATGGGAGCAGTGAAATGGGGTGGAATCCGGTTGAGACCAGTTAGAAGTGGTGAGAAGGGGCTGGGGGTTTAGCTCAGCGGCATAAGTGCCTGCCTTGAAAGCAGGCAGTCACAAGTTCGATCCCTGGTACCGATAAAAAGGAAAAAGACAACAAAACAAAACAAAACAAAACAAAACAGAACAAAAAAAAAAAAACAAAAACCAAGTGGTGAGAAGCAGCTGTGCTGTCTAGAGCCTGTGTGCTTAGCCTCAGATCCTGAGGTGCTCTAGTGCTAGCAGTGAGTCATCCTGTGTCCCTTTTACCTCTCGCTGGGGCTAGGACAGTTCTGGGTCCCTAGAACGCTGTTGCCACTGTGTACCACCAGGCCACAATGCCATTTTTGAAATCGCCTGCTGCCCTTGCTCCTCCAACAGTCTGGGACAAGGAAGGGGCATGAGGAGACCCTGATTCCGATGTGGTTTCAAGCTGGGTGCAGCTGTAATAAGCTAGGTCTCTGCTCTCATTCCTGTCAGCAACAGATCTGGAAGCCAGAAGTTTATAAATGTCTGTGATGCAGTACCTCATAGCCGCAACTGCTTTCCTTAAACTTATGCATTTATGTATTTTGTGATTGCCTAAATTTATACTATGTTCTCATATTTCCATACTCATGAAAGGTGGAGGCAAAGGTTCTGAGAGTTCAAAGATGTGTAGTGATGTGCCTCAGTGGAGGAAGGCTCCCCAAACACCGTATGAACTGCTGTGTATTATACAGAACAATGCAAAGAATTTTTGAACATACTTGATGTGACACATGTGTTCATAGACGATGTTTGGGAGAACAGCCATAGAGGTTTAAATTTTGAGAAAAATGAAGCAGCCATAAAAGTGTCATCAAGGGCAGGGTAAAGTGTTCTTGCTAAGACAAGTTCCAGAAAGGGCTGCCTGTTAAATTCTCACTGAAAAATGCCTAAATGTAGTCATTTGCATGAACATATACAAGTGATATCCTTCTGAATGGAAAGGAATATGGTTGTAATCTCTGAATTAAGGGGTGATTTAATAGCTTGGTTGATCATATACATTGTTGAAATATGGAAATGCTCTGCAGTGGACTTTACTAAGTGGTGTAAAGGAGATGCCATAAATTGAAATTGTGCAGGAATATCAATAGCTTTGTCGTGAAGGGTTTTCTGCTTAGGATGGATCAGAGGAGCATGGAAAGGATGTGGAAGTGACTGGCAGGACGCAGAGTGCCAACAGCAGGATGTACAACAGAGAGGGCCTTCCCTGAAAGTCAAGTAGTTCTTAGGGTAAGCATGAAGTTAAAGTTGGCTTATGATTTCTTCCTTGAGGTGAATAACACCAGCTCTGGTAAGAATCAGTATTCCGCATCCTTGTCAACCCATGATTTCTGTGTTCTTCACTTGAGATCTAATTTTGATTATCTCTAATTATGAGCCAGTGTCATGAAGGTAAAATTTGAATTTTTTTTGTAACAGGGATCGAACTCATGATCTCAGGTTTCCTAGGTAGGTGTTTATGCTGCTGAGCTAAATACCCAGCTCTGAAAGTGTTTTCTGTATACTATGTATGATATCAACAGTGTTCCTCAGAAAATGTTGAATATTGTGGAATTTTTCTATATTGTATGGAAATAATTTTAAAGCAAACCAAAGGTGTCATATGCAGTCAATTGTCATTTTTACATTGTCTGTGGGGTATCTCCATCAGGGTTTCTCTATTTCAGACAGCTCTGTAACTTAGGCTAGGCCCAAACTCAAGGAAGTTCTCCTGCCCCAGCCTCACAAGATATATGTCTTATATCTGAATGGAGAGTGATCACTTGCTGACACTGAGCTATAATTTGAAACTTGTACCTGGTTTCATTGTTTATACATTTTTTACATATAGCAGCTTTCCATGAACATTTGAGTTATTATTTATGTATCATATTTGATGTTATTTATGTTTTGTTCTATGAAACAAAATTTAAATATCAAAATGCTGCTTAAGT